GACCCGGAAGCAACTGTCCAATCATTGAAGAAGCTACAATCTGCAGACATGAGATACCTAGCTGCTGCTTCTTTAGGTTGAACAATAGCTACACAGTCAAAGCTTAAGATTCCACATGTAACACAAGAGAAAAGCCTCTGATCCGAAAGTCCGACATTTTTCCTCCTTTCAGCATCTGTCAGCGTTTCTTGAGTTTCCTTCTCTGTGCTTGCCCGGTGATTTCTGCTCCTTTCACATAAAGATGTAAACTTTTCTTTCACTGAAACAGTATCCTTGACACCGTTATTGAGACTGCCCATAATACTATCAGAACTTAAGTCCTCAGATTTCAATTGGATGGGCTTTTCCTGGTTAGTTCTCAAATGGGATCCAACTCGCTGGTCAGCACAAACTGATATATCTGAGGAACTCTGCGGGAGAAGGGCTACTGGAGATCCTTTTCCGAGAGAATGGTGCAATTCATTGTTGTGGATGATGTTTTGCACAAATAGCTCTTTAGTCAATTTTTCTCCTTCACTTCTTTTCTTATCTTTCAATCTAGAACTCCGTGGTTTGGTGTGGATGCTTGTTGGCACTCTGCAATGGGTGAATAAACCTTATATAAACCTTTTAAAGCAGTTTTAGGACTCTAAAGTTGGAGAGTGAGAAAATACCTTGAACCTAGAGCCAATGCAAAGTCATAAAGTAACTGGAGATGAGAAACCATTGGAGGGTAATTTATTGCAGCTCGCCGGATGGCAGCATCTTTGGCCATTCTCAACCATTCGGGAGTTGCAATGTTAGATGCTTCAGCAAAATTGAATCCTGTAACCCCCAAGATTGTTTTTTTGGGATAGCATAAGTTACTTCAACGTTTTAAGCCATGACTGTATATACTAAATAAAGGTAGCTTGCTCACCATGACTGAAACCCGAATGATATGCTCTTGGAAAAGTGACGACAAACTCTCCAGGATTTTGCACTAACCTGATACACACAAAACAACTTGTGTAAAAAATTGTGCCTCTGGATGTTTCCATTCAATCAAAAGATAGGAAGAATGAATTAAACAAAAAGGTTTGCTTTCTATTTGAAGAAGAAACATGGAAGGTAAACAGAGCACACAAAAGAAAACCATTACCTGCAACACGGTACTCCGGCTTTAACAAATACTTCAGGAGACATCACAGTTGTCTTCTCACCAAGAGTAGAAAATGTCACTGGTAAGACAACGACATAAGAGGCATAATTAGTTTACTGGCATAAAGCTACATAAGCAGCTTCTTCCCCGGACAACTTTTGATAAAATAAAAGCAGTTAAAAAGCAACAAAAAGGACAGAGACACAACAATCAACAATCAGAACATGGAATTGAAACATTGAGTAACTCACTCGCACATAACTCTAATTAACCTTCCTATGATACTCACCAAGAGGATTGAGCTCTCCTCCATAACCATGAACCCTAACCACCTCCTCAAAAGCCACAGCAGCATCCTTTGGCACACCGTACCAGGTCTTACTAGCACCCATATGCAAGTAATTGAGACTATGAAGGTCATGGTCTTCAGCATGCCACGCAAACCAGCTAAACATCATAGCAACATACACCATTGGAGATGTAACCCCAGGGATCTCTTCTTTCATGAACTTAAGCAATGACCCTTCGGCTCTAGCCATTGCCCTCATGTTCCAAGCTGACTCACCAACAGTTCCTCCCTCACCACCAGACTCTCTCCTCCTTGCAGCAGCCAAACTCAGAGGGATAAAAGCCGAGCCAGGCATGTCATTGGCATACTCAACAGAGAAGGGTTTATCCACTGTAGCTCTCCAGTAAAGGGTTTCCATTTCTAAAGCAGAGAGTTGACTCTTTTTACCACATTTCTTAAGATAATTCTTCTCAAAGGTCTTAGCTTTATACTCAAACTCACCGAAACTGTAATGCTCACCGCTCTGCCACACAGGTCTCTGTACGGGTCGCTGCTTCCTAGGGCAGAACCCGATCTGCTGCTGGCGAGTGGCGAATGTAGGACCACCGTCGTAATCGAACGCATTTCCGCCGCCGTCGCGAACCCTCGCCGCCGCTCGAGCCGCCAGAGAACGGTTAAGGTTAGAAATGGCGGTTTTCTTCGAAGAAGGAGGCACTGGAGGCAGAATTTTGCAGATTCCGTATCTAGAAGCTTCCTCTTCGATCTTAAAAATGTAAGCGATCGGATCTTGAAACTCTGCAAGAGTAGGCCGGAACTCTGGGGCTACCGGCAACGATTTCAGCCACGGAAACACGTCTTGGCTCTGCTCAGAAACTGCCATATCTCTAAGAAGAAAAGGAAACCCTTTTCTCTAAAAATTTCTTCTTTTAGAGCTACTGGGTGCTAATCAAAACGCCATTACAGAGTAGAAACAGAACAGATTTTTGAAGGAAAAAAAAAACAAAATCAGAGAATCGACGAGTCTCTACACCATCTCTTGGACCAATAGGTTTATTTTGTTAAAGAGTAATCCACTTTTCCTCGGAAAAAACGACGGGCTTGATCTCGTTTCTTAGGTCTCTGTTTTTATTGGATTAAAGAAACAGGGGAAAAATTGTACATAGTATTTTTTTTTTTTAAGGGTTGGGTTTGTTTGGGGCAGAGCAAGAGATGTGACTGATTTCTCAGTATTAAACAAGTCAAGAACAGTGAGTGTAA